TGCCGCTGCGTCCAACGCGACGCCCACCCTCAACACCTCCTTCGATTCCTCCATTTTGTCCGTTCCTCCCGACTCGGTCAGCGCCGGTGACTCCTTTGGCAGCCTGGAACAACCCCTCAGCCAGACACCTACACTTGGAACAGATTCGGAGGGCACGATAGATCCCGACGAGACTCCCGAACAGAAGGCCGAACGCGAGAAGTCCCGACGCCAAGCTAACAATGCTAGAGAACGGTAAATTAGGCTAACATCTGTTCTTTTCGCGCGCATACGCACTCTCTCTCCCTCTCTGACACATGGACCCCCTTACTACGCCATTCTGATGCAGTACCATAGTTTGTCATTTTTGCGACTGTAGCGTGCCCACCGCTTGTGTATACTTCCTCTCGATCATGCCAAACTAAGTACTGGGTCAAATAGGACTTTGCGCGCTCTCTTTTTTAACGATTGTCGTTAAGACATTTGGTTTTACCGTCTCTGTGTTCAGTAGGTTACATCCGATTGTTGGCACCTTATAGTTTGGGTGGTAACCTATGAATAATTTTGGTGAATGAACATGAAACCCAGCTGTCCACTTCTGTTACACATTGAAGCTTCAGTAATATTCAGTTTGACAAGGTTATCTTCTGTCTAAAGAAACGGCGCAGAACCTTTCCTAATGTAGAAATTTCAGACCGGCTTGACTGTTTGATTTCCTTCTTTGAAGACCCTTAGACGAGCAAGAATCGATGGACTGTCCTTGAGGTATTCCTAAAAGTGTGAGATATTTCCTTGTTGCTCGTTCGAACAGTTGATCTACTCTCTTCATCTTCTCGCCAGTTTATTGGTTCAGTGTTTTCTGCGTGTGTGTTCTGTTCTTCTAGGTGAAGACTTCTTTATAGCCGAGCTCGAAACTCCTTTCCTTTCTGTCACGTCTACTTTTTGCCTTATCATATCTTGTGTCGATTGGTTACTTCCTTTCACTCGCTAGCTCTTTCATCTGGCCGCCAGCCTTCCCTAAGTTTTAAAAATGTTGATGCTTCTACTTTGTGTCAACAATACAGGGTGTTCCCACACTGTTAATGATACTTGAACTATCACGCTAGTCAGGGAAGAAGTATAAAATGACACGTGTTTCGAAAAAAAACCCAGGAATTTATGAAGGTTATTTTAGTTCCTCAACAAAAATCGGTTATAGCTAAACAAAATTCTTTGGAAAAAGTGCAAAAACATCCCCAATAACTTTATATCAATCCCGTTGCTTCTTTCGCAACTTTCTGTCACCA